CACTACACACACTGCAAGCATCCAGTATACTTTACACAATACACAAACACAGATACTGCACACACTACACTACTTTAATTACGCAAACACCGACACTGCACCCACTACACAATAAATACAGTAAAATCATACTTAAAAAAACTCACAAGACACTCCATCCACTACATGCACTACACACAGACTCTGCATCCACTTCACACACTACATGCATCCAGTACACTTTACACAATACACATAGTTACATAGCTGAAAAGAGACTTGCGTCCATCAAGTTCAGCCTTCCTCAGAAATGTTGTTGCTGTTGATCCAAAAGAAGGCAAAAAACCTGGTCTGAAGCACTTCCAATTTTGCCACAAACTAGGAAAAAATTCCTTCTTGACCCCAAAATAGCAGTCAGATGTCTCCTTGGATCAATCAGCTATTACCCCACTAATTAGAAATTATATCCCTGTATGTTATGTTTTTGTAAGTATTTATCCAATTTCAGTTTAAACATCTGTATGGACTCTGACAAAACCACCTCTTCAGGCAGAGAATTCCATATCCTTATTGTTCTTACTGTAAAAAAACCTTTTCTTTGCCTTAGATGAAATCTCCTTTCTTCCAGCCTAAATGTGTGACCTCGTGTCCTATGTATAACCCTGTTTATGAATAGATTTCCAGATAAAGGTTTGTACTGGCCCGAATATATTTGTATAAAGTTATCATATCCCCTCTCAGGCGCCGTTTTTCCAAACTAAACAGATTTAATTTTTGTAACCTTTCTTCATAACTAAAATGCTCCATTCCTTTTATCAATTTTGTAGCTCGTCTCTGGACCCTCTCCAGTGCCATGATTTCCTTCTTTAGAACAGGCGCCCAAAATTGCACAGCATATTCAAGGTGTGGTCTTACCAGCGATTTATAAAGAGGCAAAATTATATTTTCATCCCGAGAATTTATGCCCCTATTTATACATGACAAAATCTTACTGGCCTTAGCAACTGCAGATTGACATTGCATATTGCTGCCTAATTTGTTGTCTATAACAATGCCCAAATCCTTCTCGTGTGTGGTTATCCCTAATTCACTACCATTTAGTGTGTAAGTTGCTTGTGCATTCTTAACCCCGAAGTGCATAACTTTGCATTTCTCTATGTTAAATTTCATCTGCCATTTTAGTGCCCAGTCCCCCAATCTATCCAAATCTCTCTGCAACAAAGCAATATCCTGCTCACATTTTATTACTTTACAAAGTTTTGTGTCATCTGCAAACACTGATACATGGCTTTCAATGCCTATTTCAAGATCATTTATAAATATGTTAAATAGAAGTGGTCCCAAAACAGAACCCTGAGGGACACCACTTACCACTTTTGTCCAGCCTGAAAATTTACCATTAATGACAACTCGTTGTACTCTGTCCTTAAGCCAATGTTCTACCCAAGAACAGGAATATTCATCTAGACCAATTTCTTTTAGTTTGAAGACTAACCTATTGTGAGGAACCGTATCAAATGCCTTGGCAAAGTCCAAGTAGATCACATCCACTGCAACACCCTGATCTATACTTCTACTTACTTCTTCGTAGAATACAATTAGGTTAGTTTGACATGACCTATGTTTCATAAAACCATGCTGATTATTGCTAATAACAAAGTTCTTCCCAATGAATTCCTGAATATTATCCCTTAATAGCCCTTCAAATATTTTCACAAACACAGACTCTTCCCACACTACACTGCTTCAACAACAAAAACATAAACAATGCACCCACTACACAGACAATGCACCCACTACACAATATTTACTACAAAGAAACTGCATGCAGTACATTGCATCCACACATACACTGCATCCACTACACACACACACACACACACACACACACACTCAGTATCCACTATACATATGCATACAATGCATTCACTATACCCACTGCATACAATACACACACTGCATCTCCTGGATGTGCATGATATTTGGGGGTGTGGGGAGGGTGGGGCAGTATTTCATCCTTCGACCCAGGCAGCGCAATGTCTTGGGCCGGCCCTGTTCCCATAAATATCTTTTTCTTTCATTAGTTTAACTAGATACAAGCTTTATAACTGGTGATCTCATCGCTTTTTTGCAGTTTCTCATGTTTTCTCTACAGCGTAAGCTTATTTGTGCCGAACGCTTCTCACTCTTTGTTCCTGTTAACATTTGCTGTCTTTAATCGGCTATTAATACCGCCATCGTAAACTTTTAAATTGCTTGTAATATGTTGGCGCTATATAAATAGTAATGGCAAATATAATAACAATAATAATAATTTGTTTTCTGTAAATCAATCTAGTCTCAAGTTCCACTTAATATCCTAAGGTTAACCTCAAACGGTATTTACTAATCTACCGCATTATTCTATATATTCATTGTGCTCTCATTTTTGGGTGCCATTTTTCTAAGTGTAGATTGCACCAGCTACCAGTAATGACAAATTGTCAACCTGGAATGGAATTGAATGTACATTTGTTTCTTAAAATAAATATTTTAGACTACTTTTAATTTTAATGATATGGATAATGTTTAAGCTGCAAAGCAGATGGTATTCTCATATGACAATTCAGATCATTTCAGGATTAGAGAGCATTACTCCTGCTGTATTCTATGTTGATACTTTGCAGTAAATGAATCCACAGTCTGCTCTGAGCCGTGACATATCTTCTGCTACAAAAGTTTAATTTACAGCGTAACATAGCGAAGCTAATACTCTCTGTTTGGAAAATGCACTGACAATTTTTTAGTGAAATAAAGGATCGATGTGCACAGTACAAGGAATAATAACATTTACATCATAATATGTTTTCAGACGCACACTAATTTGAGTTTAGCAAATAGCCAACTTGTGTCACAGATTACCAGTTTTCTTAACTGAAGATTGCCTTTCTGTTAGATACATACCAATGAGGGATATAGCTGAAAATGAGAAAGAAGATAATTACTAAATGTAACCATTTATAATCTTTGATACAAAGTTATTGCATGTGAATATTGCATGGTAAGATATCTATTTTGTGTTCATGTGTGATGTCATTGGTTGAATGAGTATGCATGATTATGCCACTTATGATGTCACTGTGCAAATCTAATGTCAGGAGCTGTGTCATATTAATAACAGAAGGACACTGTTCTGTACATTACTGTTATATGACTTCCATATGGTCATGTAAATAGTGCACTTAACTGAAAAAATAAAAAAATGTGCACATTCCTTTTTCATATAAATGAAGAAAATATATATGTTCACTAATGTATATATTTGATGAGTTTATGTGAGATCTAGATTTCAAGTACTGAATTAATAACCCAGTCATATTATTTGGAGATGTGCACGATAAGAATCTTTCATGTCATGGTGAACATATATCCCAGTTCAAAACAATGCAACTGTTTCAGGTACATTTGGAAGTTATAACTTGGTTCGTCTCTAGTAGTATAATAACAAAACATGTAATGTTCTCAGCAGTAAGTATCCTTTTAGATCAGGGTAGGCAACCTTCAGCACTACATATGTTGTGGACTTCATCTACCCTGATGCTGTGCCAGCATTATAGCTGTAAAGCATTATGGGAGATGTAGTTTACAACATCCAGAGTGCCAAAGGTTGCCTACCGCTGTTCTATATTATTATTCTTATTGGTATTTATATAGCACAAACTTATTCCACAGCGCTTTCTAATGATCTAAAGGAAAAATGTAGCAACAAATGAGACCGACCATTACAAATATTGACAAGAATGATAAGTCGATGAGAACCCTGATAGTATGAGCTTACAATCTAGAGAAGTTGGGATAAAATAACACAACCTCAAATCTCCACTGATGCTTTGCCAGCATTATGGCTGTAAGAGTATTTCTGGACGTGTAGTCCATGCAAATCTAGAGTGCCAACGATTGCCTACCACTGTGATAGGCTATTATGAAGAGATGGGTTTTAATGGAACTTTTAAAGGATTAACAATTAGGTGGGAGCCTGGGAGAAGTCAATCTGTTCCACAGTAATAGAATGATTTATGAGAAGTCCTTTAATCTCGAGTTAACAGTATGGGTGCGAGCAGCAGACAGATAAAGATCACCGGTAGAGAGGAGTGACCAAGACACAGCAAGGTATCAAATTGTAGTCTTTTAGGTTTCTGCAATAATCTGAATTCAAAATGAATTTGAAATTTCAGAAAATTAAAGCAGAAATGGAAACAAAATCCAAATCAACTTTATTTTCAGTTTGGTTATTTTTGGTCTAAAAATGTGAAAAATGGCGCAAAGTTTGGCAGAAATTTTTAGAAATGGTGCAAAATTGTAAAAGTAGATAGAGCAACCCCCTTGCTGCTCCATTATTTTTGACATTCTTTATTTTTGCAGTGATTTAAAAGACACACATTTTGGTAGACAGTTCCACATGAATAGACATGCCAAGAGAAATTTCAATGAAACAACATGTTAGGTCATGAATGTTGCACTTTCTTTTTAAACAATAAGAAACAAATGCTAAGTATGCTGAAACAACTTTTAGTAAGAGTGTATAAGTAAAATTTGAAACATATAGCTGCTTCAACAAACACAGTTAAGGAAGTCCTACAATGGTAGGATAGCATCTGCAGAAGTAAGTGTGGCTCACAGTGCCCAGTGTAGAGCAGCATAAAGGTTCTTGTCAGCGGTCAGCCGATTCCCATGCTTAAGATCTGTATGGTTCTCACTAGGCATTGATGGTGGTACCAGAACAGTGGGAGTGAGGGGAAGCATCCTGCCTGCATCAGTCCCTTAAGAAAGCCTGCATCATCGAACCGCCATCTCTGAGGCTCCCAAGACCTTCTCCAATTGGGGGAAAAAAGAGGCTCTGTTGATCCTGTGCAGCCAGCATAGAGTTGCCCTCTGTCTGAGTGGATGATGCATGGGGACCAGGTGTCTTGTGGCTTTTGGCCCAGGTAGCCTTACATTAATGGTGACATCAGTAGCTTGAGAGGCTCACTCTCTCCCTGGTGCTAACACTTCCCATCTCCCTCTTGGGGTTGTCTCTTAGTAGTCGCCATGCGAATCTCTAGTTCTGTCCGGAACCATGTGAAAGCTTTATCAAGTCGCAGCAAGAATCGTTCCACTGAGTTAAGGAGAGCCCCCTGGAACTGTTTAGTAGTGCCTGCTTGCATGCCTAGTGCATCCGCCATCTTGGAAGTTCTCTTACTGCTGCAGTGAGCGGAAACCAGCATAGGGGTGTCTGATGTTGTGGGAGCCGGGATAACCTTCACCGGCATGGGGAGAGGAGGGAGAGGAGCAATAAGTCCAACTGCCTAGGGCCTGGCTCCAGGTAGGTCAGAGACCATGAGATCGGCCACTTCACAGTGTCTCGACCGCCAGGAAGGCTGCAGGCATGCCGGAGCTTCCAATGCAGGTAGACTGGTATGCTAGAAGGCAATGCTACTCCCACGAGTAGTAGGGTATTACAAGCTTAGAAAGTGCGGATGGAGAGTCTACAAGGTAGGCATAAAACACAATGCTGCACGGAGCTCCAACTGTATGTGACCGCTCGGCAGGCAGGCAGGCCCCGCAACCGATCCATTGTTTTTCAAGTTGAATGCCACTTGATAAATATCACCCATTCTCATCCAAACTAAGCAAATGATACAGGGCTATCAAACTGATTCCTCAATGGCTATAATCCAAGTGTAACTTTTAGGATTTCAGCGCTTGACAGTTTTATTAAAAAAAGTGAAGCATTTATTCAAAACATGTGATGCATACGTTGTATTTAAATTTAGTACAAAAGAAGCATTGTGTGTATAAACCTGTGTTACAGGAAGCTTCCAAAATGTTAATTATTTACATTTAAAGGCATTTCAATCTTTTATTCATTCATCCTTTCCCATTATTTTTTGGGAGGGACTGGAAACTGTACAGTTTGTATTGCAATACTTCAATGAGATGGAGAATAGTTACCCGAATTAAACAATTTTAGAACGTATACTAGATGACGAAGTTAAATTGATGTAAAAATGGGCAAATACTTGCCGAGGGGTATTTGTAAGGAATCTAATTTTCAAATAACAGAATGTAATATTCTTACTATGTGTGACCTGGATAAAACCAGACATCTTTATTTCAAAGTGCTTTGAGTAGTACTACGCATAAGCTTGTCTGTTCTAAATCTTCCATCCCATGATGAATTTTAGCAGCACTAGACTAATTAATCCACATAGGCTTCTGTACAGTGCTGGTGGAGGTGACATTATTTTCAGTCCATCTGTATGATGCAGTGGGACTGGCTGAAGTCCCAGCAGAGGAATTAACAGGAATATAGACCAAAATGTAATATGAGGTTAAGGTGAGAGGTTTTTACTTCAATTACAATGCAAAGTTAAAGTAACCCCATCCATAAGCAGAATTGTTGATGAAGACTCATTTCTGCCAAAATGTACACTATTTAAATTTTTGTGCAAACTGTGATATATTCACAAATGTTTTCTGTACCCATACTATATAAATGGTAACATTTACTTGTAGAAATCACAAGCTACATAACTGTGTATTCACTAAAGAGAGATTTGTTTACAACCAACTGAGGATAATATGTCCAAGTTAGAAGAAATCCATTTAATCTGG